GTAACAAATTTCAAAGGCAATAGGTAATAGAGCGATTTATGGATTCATTGGCTCAACAAAAAATGTATCTAGGCACTGGCGATTACATCCACAGGCAGTGATGTTGTGGTGTAGATTTAGTTTACTTAAACCCCATCCTGTATTTTGTAGTTGGAATCAGCTTGACAAAACAACAGAAAAAAGAGAGGGTTATGCTTTTAAAAGTGGCTCACATATTTTTCAAAAACAAAGATTTCAGGCAAAGTTTGGTACTGTGAGGCCATGGCCAAGAATGTTTCCAGTAAAAAAAGATTAGATAAACCATTAAATAGTTCGGGAAAGGCATCGCCATCCTGCTCCCCCTCCCTAACTTGAGAATTTGGTTACCCAGTCCCCATGGTTGTTTTCTTGCTTGATTGGATTATGGCCACACACCTCAAGCTCAGCTTCCACCACCAATCAATGAGGAAATGAGGTGTCAACACACTGGTGTTTATTCAACACTCATTTATTTTTCTACCGGAAGCCGAAGCTAGCTCGGCCACAGAAGATACCAGATGAGTGAAGGGATTTTCTTTGAGCATTTAGAATTACTGCTCATTTCTTATCGCATTACATGATGTACAAGTGCTAATTATTTTTACAAACAATAATCTGCTCAGTATTTTCATTTTCTTTAATTGCATTACATTTAAATTCCTTGACAGTTTTGAATGAAAATGAGCCAATTTACTATGAAATTACTAATGCCTTTATAATGACACTTTGTGCAAATATTTAGAGTGAATAATATTACAAGTTTATATTAAAATTCTGTCTTGTCTTGTTCCTAATCTCTTTTACAACTGAGAAGATGGGGCTGTTAAACTTCAGGCTGCGCGTCCATATGACCAAGCTAAAGGAACTGGTAATGGGAAGACACCAGGAAGTCTGTAATGCTTCCAGTCAGCATGAAGTGCCATCAAAATAAAACCCGCACAGTAGCTGCTGCTTTAAAACAACTGGGGCAATTGAAAATTCCCCTCCCAATTTATGCCAAATGCCACTTTATAAACATTCTAGCATGACTGCCAAGTGTCTGCACTGCTTTATGCCCCTTCTCTTAATTGAAAACGTTATAGGGGTGCATTACACTTGGGGTTTTTATAAGCTGTGCTATAAAGCTCTAGCAGGCCCTGAGAGGGGAAACTGCCCATTAACTTATAAGGTCCAGGCCTTGGCTCTCTTAATTGACAACCTCTAGGCTACTTTCATCACTTGTCGACTTCATAGCGGCAGTCAATGCTTCCTCCAGGATGCTGTTGCATCTTTGACACGAGGGTGTTTGTGACAAAGAGCAGTCTGCCGCCAATGCCAGGGCGAGGGCTCTAGGCTGTCCATAAAACAAGCACACGCATTCCTCTCCTAGTTCCAGCCATCTGAGAGGGCTGCATTTAACCATGTAGGTCCTGCTTCCCAGAAACACCAGCCCAAATTCAATATGAATCCCGTTAGGAATGTAGACTTTTGATATACTTATGCAAGTCTACACATCACACATCATAGAAATCTTTTTACAAAATATCCAGACAGATACTTTCACTTTATAAAGCAATTTAGAATATTACAAGAAAAATAGGTGATGCTAAATTAAAAGAGGGATTATTGAGAGAAAGAATAGTTTATTTCTTATCTGCTCAGGAAATCACCACAAGCACAAATCAAGTGCACATATACACGCGCACACACACACACGCACACACACACGCACACACACACGCACACACACACACACACACACACGCGCACACACACACACGCGCACACACACACACACAACACCAGACTGGCGTGACAGTCACTTCACCCTCTAATTTGGCAGGATCATCAGCTTTGTGCCTCTGGAAATTCATGCACCTTGAATTAGAGCCACATGTCACAATGTAGCTGACCAACACAGACACATTACTAGAATATTAAACCCACTTAAGTTCTTTGTAAATGACATTCAAACTGTTTGAAGTTTCTCATTATACCTCCTATGAGACTTGCATGACAATTTACAAAAGGTATAAGAGCACTAGGGAACTTTGACTGCTAACCATCTGTCACTGAATCTCATGATGTAATCCTCCTTCAATGTTGTATTGCATTTCCATAAAGTAAGGGGACTTAGGAGTAACACATTTTAGAAAGAATGGTCAAAATTAAAGCAGCAGAGGAAAAAAACACTGTCATGTTTTACATCAATACCGGAATGTTTCCTCACTGTAACTTGATGAGATCGTGTTTCCTTTGTGTTTTTATTTAGTGTTTTATTGTTTACAAAACATCCATTACTGTACTCTATGTGTGTGTGTGTGTGTGTGTGTCTGTGTTACATTTGTGTGTTACATTTGTGTTACATTTTGTAGTGCAATACAAATAAAGTCTGATTGATTGATTGATTTAATATTATAGCCATGTTAGCTGCGTGGATGAACTGAAATAAGCTTGTTGATCTCTGTTCATCTAGCGCCACCATCAGGTCAAAATTTTGTTTTGTTTTGTTCTGTACTTTGGTTTATGACCATATTAATTATTCCCGTAAGTCCAAACTGTACTTTGTGTTTAGTGCTAATTTGCTAAACTAAGATGGTGAACAACTGTATGTACACCTGCTAAACATCAGCATGTTAACCTTGTCACTGTGAGCATATTAGGCTGATATATACTGTCGTTCCCAACCTGTTGTGCGACAATGTGACGTCAAAATGACGTAGATCTCTCTGGCGCACCAGGATTTAGGCCAGGTCGCGCACCACTCTTTTTTTCAGCTGAGCGCGCCAAAGCGGAAACAGGAAGATGGACGAGTTTGAGGGCAAGCATTCCAAACAAGTGCACCTCTACAGGCATCTGTACGATCCTTCAATGAAGGAACACAGAGATGCCCAGAGGTGCCAGAATTCATGGCGATTGGATAGTTGCGGCGCTCCCATGATGTCACATTGTCGCGCTACAGGTCGGGAACGGCAAGTATATAAGCTTTAAGCCTTAAGTTAGCTTTTGGCTCAAAGCACTGCTGGGCCTCAGTGCAGCCTTACAGAGCTGGCTTTATACTTTTACTCTTGTTATAGAATTTTGCACCAGTGTGATGTACTTCGAGATGTCAAATGTGTATTTCATTTGCTGGATTCATTTATTAATTTACAATGATGGAAAACAAAGAAAGATGATTGAAACAAATAACTAATTCACAAAACAGTACACACATAGACATGCAATTATATTATTTATAATGTGAAACTACATGATCCCACTAACAGCTATACTGCCTGCAATGTAAATACATCACTGACCTTTGCTTCAAGTTATAGAATTAACCCGTGTAATTGACCCCGTTTGGCACAATTATTGAACTGGTTTAATCTTGGCTTTGGCCCAAAGTCACACACGTGTAAGCGAAACAAATAACGTTATTATCATAATTCCATTATGTGTTATCAATTCAATTAATATAGCAACAGAAATATTCACTTTTGGGCTGCTGTTACCTAAATATAATATAGCAGATAGGAAAGACTGTGACCACAATGTTTCCAGTTTAGATGACTGGAAATCTGTGGGTGTGGAGAGTGAATGAGAAGGACTCAACAACAAATACTCGACCTACAAGCTCTTGAGCAAGTGGCTCAGCTTCAATGAGGGCCGTGAAGCTGCTCATAGCCACCAGAGCAGAAAGCCTGTGGTTGCACTGGGTGTCTGAATTAAATAGACTAGCAGTACTTTCTGGAATATGATCATAACCAAACTATGACAATAGAGGAATTAAAATGCACACCACTGTGTATTCGTCTGTCAAAAAGATGTTAATCTGATGATCCTGTGAATATAGGTTTTTTTAATGTACCACTTTAAAAAGGACAGTTCCTTTTATATCAGCAAGGGTATTGGAAAGTATGAAGTACTAATAATCAGTAACTGTAATCAGTGAAATGCTAAAAAAAAAGGTGTCACCAATTTCTTTAGTAATATTATATCATCCAGTCAGATTCAGTGACTTCCTGGAGTCTGCACATCATCACAGTAAGGTTGCCAGGCAACCAACACTACAGCCAAAGATGCTCAGCACAGTTTTACCTTGTTTGTGAATGGATTAAACAAACTTGATACCTGTGAATCAGTGAGTGGGGTTGGTTAGTGGGAGAGAGCCAGGCAACTCTCAACTCAACTAATTCCTTTCCATTGTGGTGCATTGACCTCTCTCCACCACCGTAGCACAGCCTGATCAGTACCGACTGCCTTAGACTGACACTACCAGATTAGTTAGTAATATCTGATACTTGACACTTTCCATCATCGTCCTTGATGACAAAAAAATATGAAAGCTAGATGGAAACAACAACAACAGAATACACGATTAAACACCTAACTACCTCAACATCACAGGAGTGCAGTGCGGCTGTGCAACAATATATCAGTTCATTGGATGAGAGACAGCAACACAGTAACACCACACAACCTACACAATACAAGGTGTCATCCTAAGAATAAAAAGCTAACAGTTACACCCCGTTTTAACGACAAACTCGACACTGGCAGTTTCCCTAGTAGTCAGGTTAGTACTCTTCGCTTTCTCTCTCTCTCCAGCTACCGGTACCTGGCCTCGGTGTGTTACTGCCATCAATAACATCAAGTTAAACCTCTCCTCTTCATTCAGAGACACTGGAGTACAGTGGACCACAGCAGTGTTTATCTTCTGAGGTTGTCCAGCTCTGTGCACACTATCCAGCTTTTATGAACTCATGTCAAGACTTAACAAACAAGTAGCCACAGTCTGTAATTGGTCTATTTTGGCTCATATATAAAGTTAAAAACACTGTTGCCCACTGCTGTACTTCACCCCAGCCTCCAAAACAAGAGCTATGTGTCCAACAACTGCAGCTACCGTCAAATTGATGAACACTTATGACACCAGTGGAGCGCCGTTAAATGCTGCCGACTGAAGAGAGAGACAGAGCACATTTAGGAGAAGCAGAAACAGAAAACATGAAGTGACTTACTGTGGAACAAGTCGTGTCACGGCTCTGGTAATGTGCGCCGCCATGATTCCTTCGGTGACGCGCTGAAAGAGCGAGCAGCAATTGGCTGCCGAAGCAGTTCCTTCGTAAAGAACGAGCTATAGGATTGGCTACGGCATAGAAGGGGGGCGGGCTCTGGAGGACTCTTAGCACATGGGAAGGTAAACAGCGGATAAGTAATGGGATGGTACTGTTGTGGGAATGGGCGGGGCGAAACATATTTAGAAAAGAAAATGACCCAAACATTTATGATAAAAGTAATTTATTTTGCAATATATTTTAAAAGAAGTAATAGAAACGAGTTAAAATGAAGGTTAAAGTTGGTAAATAGAGATTATCTAAATCAGTTATATCCTGTGTACATCCCAGAGTTCTTTGCCTCACAGATGGTGTCTGTCTACAATAACTCATGTGTCCTGCTCTATGAGACAGAAGGGACAGAGACAGACTGAAGCTTGCAATGGAGAGAAACAGGGGAGGAATAAGAGCGAGGAGAGATCTGAGCACAAGGCACGTCACCCCAGGAGTTCTCTCTCACAGCAGTGGTGAATTACTACCACTACCATCAGCCAGGTCCAAGTGTGGTGCACAATAGACACGCAATATTTGCCATGATTAAGTCAGCAGGGGATTTGCTCCAAATGTCAGCATTCAGAAGACAACCATTGGCCTGTGGGTGTATTTAAATGTGTATGTGCTGCTGGACGTACTTTACTTTAGGAAGGTTGTAGACCTAAATGTGTTTGGTGGCAGACCCTTAGTAGAAATAGAGGAAAAGAGTTAAGTCCATGGTGATCATCTCTTGGTCTTGCTTCAGTAGGAAATTACCTGCCTTGACATTGCAGATAATAACTACTTATTAAAAGGAACTATAGTTTTCCCACTTTTGCAGAGACCAGAAAGTGAACATTCATGGCCCAAACACCTGAGGCTCAAAACTGTTCACAACTGATAGACATAAGGAACCTGTAACAATGTGTGACTATATGCCAATATTTATTTTCCAGAGCGTTTTTGTTGGACTCATGCTGTTCTTAATAGATGTTTTTCCCTCTCTCCCAAAGGATAGCAGCACATGAAAAACAGAAACATGAGTTTTCATACTAGCTCATAAACCTATACAACCTGACCCACAATAGATCATTGATTTTTATACACTAAATCTGAAATACATCTTATTTTGCTGGCTGCTTCTCCAGTACATAATGGTCTTGGTAAGAAAACATGGATTATTTTATATAGATTTTATCCTTAAACAAAGGGGGCTTACGTGCACATCCATTCCTACATGGGATAAAAATGCAATGGAGTTGGAAAATTCCATCCATGGGTTACTTGGAAACTACTTCTTTCCCTCCCCCTTCCGTTCATCGAACACAATTGTTGTCTACTAATCCAGTTTTGATAGCATTTGGCACACTTTCTTTGGATCACAGCAAGATGCTCAACTTCCATTCTGGTCTCCCCTAGGAACCTCTGAGCCCAAGAAAGCAGCCGACACCAGGTCGCGCCAGAGCAGGGGGGTTCTCTGTATCCTCATAAAGCAGAGAAAATTATTTTTTGATTCAAGTCACCCCTTGCCACTTGCGCACACACACACACACACACTCTCTCTCTCTCTCTCTCTCTCTCTCTCTCTCTCACACACACATACATACACAGATCATCAGTCTGGTTGTTAATTCCAGATATATGCTGAATATGTGTTTATTCTTGTCAATCTGTTATGTTGTTAAATGTTGCAATCACCTAATGACCCCCCTGTAAGGCAATAGAATATAAAATATTATGTCAAAGGCAAAACCTTTTTCCCTTTGTCCCCCCTCTGTACTCCCTGATCCAAATGGACAATGCATCACTAGGCCTTGATGCCTCAGAAGTCTGGGTTCATTAAAATCTTGAATGAGTGCCAAAGCTGTAGTCATAGATAAAAGGAATATGAAAGGATAACGAAATTTATGGATGGCAAGTCACCACCTCACCCTGGCATTTATAATAAACAAATGGTTTCTGTTTCCAATTTAAATTTCTCATTATACTGTGACTTTTGGAAAATGTGTTTTGATTTACCAACATTTTATCTGAAAAACTGTATAATTGATTAGATTTACATGGCTCTGATTTTAATGCTGATCGCCTGCCTTCACCAACAACCCCCACCCCGAGCCCAACACTCACCAAAAAAGAATGATCTGAACAGCTCCTGAGGCACATTAACATCATATAAAACAAACCTACATATCAAACAGTCTTTTTTCTGATAAAATAATTGGCTTTAACCAGCATAGAATCCAATTCATCCCTTTGAAAGAAACTTCTGTGAGGCCACCAAAAAAAAAAATGGTGAGATAGACTTCACAGCCCGAGTGAGATGGACATCAATGCACTGTGCCAGCAATGGCTATATTAACCCATGGCTAAATCCCATCACACAAATGTCAGTGTATCCGTTATGAAACCATGACATTTAGATCCAAGGTCTCCATTGTGGTTTTAGAGGGAGCTGATGTTTGTCCATTCTTTGCATCCATCAAACCTGCACACAGCCTCACAGCTAACTGTACTCTAAACATAGAAAGGTTAAAGATCATAAGAGCTTATGTGCCTAATTTTATTGCATAATACATAGTGTGGTTTATGTAATCTTTTTAATAATTTTCCGTCTTTAATGTTATTACAAAAAAAGATTTTAACTGTTTCTTTCTTTATTTTTTAATCTCATGTATGACCAATATGCTGTATACAAATAAAGATTTTGGTTAGTGACAATGACACAATTTGGCAATAAAACATTTGATATCCAGAAATGTTTTTTATTAACTGACAGTTATTCTATAAAAGTAGCTATTTAAAATTAGATATAACTATAGCAATTTAAAATAGCTGCCAGTTACCAATTCTTAAACAGTATATTGTCTGCTATTAAAAGATTGCTTTTTATAATGAAATTAAAAGTAACACTAAACTGTCTGTTGCCATTTATTTTGTAAACATCATGCACTGAATTACGTGCAGAGAAACTGAAACCATTTGACCAACTCCTAACTTACCCTGTTCAACCTCTCCAAACATCAGCGCAACAGACCAGGACCGGCCCAATCTGACACATCACGACTACTCATGAGTCATGTGTAATGAGGAGCAAAAACCACATTCAAGAACAGGACAATGTGTCAAAAAGCGCTCATGTTAAGAGTGCAACACCTATGAGCCACTTGGCTAAGAATCACGAGATGTTTAATTATTGCCTCCTTACATTAGCTCGGATCTCCCCCCTCAGGCATCAGTTTGAGGGTCAGGCTGTGGGGTGGTGAGGAAGAGAGGGGGCCGAAACCGGTGGAGATGGTGAAGAGGAATAAAACCCCTTCATTACCAGATCTCTCTCTTACTCTCTCTCTCTTTCTCCTACCGACGGCAGTCCAGATCAGGAATTACAAATGATATCATGACAATTTTTCACGCTCTTCAAACCAGTGATGTTTTACCGACTCATTTGCTATGATACCTTGTTACAGATCCAGCTGTGAATCAGGGACGTGTCATGGGGCTAGAAGCCCACCTCCCACTGAGCCTGGCCAATGACCTGGAAGGCAATAGGGGATGCCAGTGCCTGCAGCATGTGCTGCACTGACAAAGCAGCAGGGCACCGTCAAAAACCCTCTCATACAAACTTTGCAGATCACTCTGTTTTTAACAGATGAGTAAGCACTGGTGCAGATTTTTTTTCTCTCCCCTAACACAAGGTTTATGGATTTCCCTTTGCGAGTCTGTGGCTCTGGTTGACGTGGAGCAAACCCTTGCCCACAAGGGGAATAGTGTAGTGGTGGATCCGGGATGGAAGGATGCAGATAGCATGTGGCAGGGTCACTGCGCAGGTTAAGCAACAATTCAGTTGAGTGCCTGTAAAGGAAGAGGAGTATGGTTGGAAAAGACCAGCGCACCAGTTAAAAAGGCCACACAATCCAGATTAAACTTTGGCCTTTGAACATAAATTACAACATCCCCTCTACACTTTCAGTTTTGTATGTTTATTGACTTTAACGTTGGCAAATAGTTTTGAGTATTTATCTCTTCTTGCATTGCCAGATCACTATATGGGAATATTTAAAGATATTTATCCAAAAAACACATCAATCCAAAACAACATGGCGTAATCCAATGAGACAAAGTAGCAACTTAATCCATTCATTAATTTTTGCATTCTTCAACAGGAATTCAATGAGGTTAAGGTTGTTTGGGTTTCCAGATGAGAGCCCTCACGCAATCCCAGGCCCTGATGACTTCTGCATTACTAGAATGATGCGGCCGGGACTGATGGAGCTGAGAGTGTCAGGAGGCATTAGCCTTCACAGCCTAAAGCTGGTGGACAAAACCAGACTGCGCCCCCTGACCCAATCCACCGCCAAGTTACTGACCCAGCAATCATGAGAGAAACAGAAAGAGAGAGGGAAGGAGCAATGCTATAAAGGAAGAAAAAATGGTCTGGAATCACAGGAAATGGTTTTAAGGGCTTTTTTCCTGTTCGGTTCACTCTGATTCCCCCTCTCTCACTTCATTTAACTGAATTAATGAGCAGGTCCAGCCAGACCTCAGAATATTAACTTCCTGGGCACCCTTATTTTGTTGAGGGATTGAGCTTTTATTGCTCATAATTGTACAATAAATAAACATGTTTACTCTGGTTACCTTTAAAGGAATTTCACTCTCAAAGACTTCAGTGGAGAAAATATGAGCTGTGTGAAAGTTTAAGATGCAAAAATTACATCGAAGGAAGAAAATCACAAAACTTAATTTTGAAGATGTATGATTTAGTTTGGGCACTGGCTTGCTTGCAGGTGAGCTTTATGAATGAATGTTCCCATAGTACTACACTCCGCTCAGCACACGTGGAACAAACACAGTGGGATGTTGGCCTCGCAACATGACACTGGCGGACCGAGAAACACCTACATCAGAGAGGACCTAAAGCTGTGTACACATGGTTCACCTCAGGACAGACCTGCTTACAGCACAATGTCAATGTTGGACTCCCTCTGTGCACTCTGTTGAATGCTTCTCTGTGATGGTACA